GTGGCTGGCGCCTTAGCCGCTTGAGCCACAGGCGCCGAGCCTATATTCCCTTCTTGTTCTCCAGCCTGTTCGTGCATTCTTTCCAAAAAATCGAGACTTTTTAAAACGCCCGGGGACGCGGGACAAATTGTTGAAAAGCGGTACTGTCGTGCCAAAATCGGGATGTCTGGTCACCCAAGTTTAGTAAAATCACAAGATCTGGAATTGGAGGGCCCCAAAGGGAGGAACCCTGATTCTCCTGGGGTCGGAAGTCCGGAGGAATGTGAAAAAACCTTGACTGTGAACCACAGTTATGTAGATTATATCATATTCCAGATATGAATGCTCCAGACAAAAATCAGAAAACTGTACCTTTTCTATATGTGATGTATTTTAGTGTTTTCTATTCTATTCTATATCATTTAACAAATAGTCACAATCCACTTAAACTTCACAAACCACAATGGGTCAAGAATAATCATTTAAAAGACACTGGTCTGAGAGACCAGTCAGTGCCCAAGGGCTGTGACTGGTCTTAAGAATGGTTCCAGTGGTGATTCTATAACAAATAAAGCATTTGCAGAGCTGTGGTAAGGAGTCCCTCCCATGGGCGATACACCCTGCAGCCAGACACTGTTGAAAGCTGCTGGCCCTGAGGCCAGCCCTATGAGTGAAGCTTGGCACACCTGCTGTTGCTTATTCTCTTACAGGCAAGGTTAGGGTTATTTCCTCAAAGGTGAATGGAAGTTACCTGATGTTGATTTGGTTGTCTTCCATCTTTTCTTTCAGGAATTCAAAAGCTCACTAAGCAGGTGAGTGAACCTAACAGTTTCTGGCTCTCTCTTCATTCCCCACCTAACTTTTCACCTTCTAATCCTCCCTCCTGCTTCCGTGAGCAAGGGGGGAACTTCTGGGGCAAATGTCCTCCTGCCGGGCCACAGCTTATCCCACATGAGGTTTGGCTCTCCCCTTTCTACCTCTTTCTACCAAGAGGACCTCATTATCTTAACTGTCAGAGTTCTGTCCTGCAGGTGCAGCAATGTGCCTGGTCCCAAGCCAACCACAGTGTCTTCTGAGATGAAGAGTAAAGTCTGGAATGTTTCCCTTAAGACTTTTGTTTTAAAAGGGCTGTTGAAGAAGTTCAAAGGTAGGGACTTAGGCTCTAAGCTGGGCCGTGCAATTTGGGTGGCAGTGGTCAGATTCTGGTTCCCAAGGGTCCCCAGTATGCCTTTCCAGAAGCTGTGTGAGAAAAGCGGAAAGATCTGAGAGTGCTAAGCCCAGTCTGGGTGGGGAGAAGTTGGTGGCAAATCTAGTCAGTCCCCCAGGGCATGCAGCTCCCCTCTGGGTCAGACTGGGCAGAGGAGTATTGGGGGCAAAAGAAGGCTGAAGTGGGGACCTCAGTTCTGGGACATCACCCCAGGGCCTCTGGAGTATCTGGGAGTGAGTGAGACCACTGGGTTATAGGTGTTGGAAGGGCTGGTGTCCTTGCTAGACAATCTAGGTCTAGTTCACACACACTCTGTTTTGTTTCTTCTCAGAGGATCTTCAGGGAGAGCTGGAGAAAGAGGAGAAAGGTAGGGATGGTGGTTATAACAGTGAGTATTGAGCATTTGGCTGCACAAGGAACCCACTCCTGCCAGTGGCCATCCCAGGGTTTTGTACACTGTTAGTTCCTTCTGTCTGCCCATCTTGACAACCCTGCCAGTCTGCCCCCATTTATCTGGCCCTGGCCTGGGCATCTCTGACTCCCTGAGGTGGCCCATAAGCTATAGGTCAGTCAGGAGTAAGAGTGCCCTGCACCTCAGGATACTCGGGTTGGGGAAAGCTTGTCAGTCACCTGGATGAACCTTTTCCCTGTCCTGCTACAGGACACATGGAGGCCTCTCCTGGGGATGTGGGCTATATGCATGAGACCAAGGAAGCAAAGAGGGGTGGTGGTGGCTAAAGACGGGACGGAAGATGTTTCTGACCCCTGCAGTCCTTTGGATGGTGTGGATCCAACACCAAAGGAAGTGAAAGAGAGGGGACAGGAGCAAAAGGCAAAATTCCTGATGCCAAAGACTAAGCCAGATCAGAGGTTACCCACGTAGTATCTAAACCAACTAAGTGAGACCATGCCCCTTGTCTGCTCAGAGCCCTGTAGTGGCCCTTCTCATTCAATAAAGGCCAGAGTCCTCACAGTGGCCTTCAAGGTCCCTAGGGATATGGCCTCACTGCACACTACCCCCCAGCCTGGGCCCACTCCATGCAGCTGTATGCCCTCCTTGCTGCTCCAAAAATATACCAAGAACACGCCCACCTCAGGGCCTTTGCACTGCATTGGCTGCTCCTGGGCCTGAAACATGCTCCCCCCTGACAGCTGACAGCCCTATGGCTGGCCTCCTCACCTTATATATCTTTGCTCAAGTGATCCTTTTCAGTGAGAGCCCTCATTGGCCACTCTAGAAATTATAGCCTCCTCTTCTGGCCCCTCTTATTGCCTCTCTCCCCTGCTAGAAGGAAGCTACAAGTGGGCAGGGTACTTCCCTGTCTTGTTCTGTGTGGTATTATATGGGGGTCTACAACAGTGCCTGGGACACAGTGACACTCACAATAAGTCCACATATTTTAAATTTTTATTACTAGGATTTTCAAATTAACTCAGAAATATCCAGAAGATGGCTCAGCACCCGTAGGTCAGTGGTTAGGGTGCCAGCCACATGCACCAAGGCTGGTGGGTTTGAGCCTGGCCTGGCCTGGGCCTGCTAAACAACGACAACAATAACAATAACGACAAAAATAGCTGAGCATTGTGGCGGACGCCGATAGTCCCAGCTACTCCGGAAGCTGAGGCAAGAGAATCACTTAAGCCCAAGAGTTTGAGGTTGCTGTAAGCTGTGATTCCAAGAACTCTACTGAGGCAACATAGTGAGAAGATTACAATGAATGTTTTGTACCCATCATAGCTTTAGCAACAACCAATTTGTGGCCAATATTTTTCATACATGTGGCTACCCACTTCTTCCCACTGAGTCATTTTAAAACAAATCATGGACAACATATCTTTTCCATTAATATCTTGTTCTGTTAAATCTAAAGAGATAGACGTTTTAAAAATGTAATCACACTGGGCGTGGTGGCTCACACCTGTAATCTTAGCACTCTGGCAGGCTGAGGCGGATGGATTGCTTGCGCTCTGAGTTCAAGACCAGCCTGAGCAAAAGTGAGACCCCCCCATCTCTACTAAAAATAGGAAAACTGAGGCAAGAGGATTGCTTGAGCCTGAGTTTGAGGTTGCTGTGAGCTATGATGCCACAGCACTCTTCCCAGGGTGACAGCTTGAGACTCTGTCCCCCCCCCAAAAATGTAATCACAAAGATATAATCACACCTAGAAAATTAATGATTTTTTTCAATATCTAGCATTTGAATTTCCTCAATTGTTTATTCAATTGGATTTGTTGACCTGTTTGAATTAGGATCAAAATCAGGCCCCCACACTGCATTTGTTTGATTTCAGTTAGGTGCTTATTGAGTAAAAAAAAAGTATCTGGGAGGAAGAGTGTGGATGGATTGTGCATTGTACAATGCCAGAGGGATTCTAGAAGGAAGGGGAGGATGTTTGCCATGCAGGGAGAGGCTGTGCCAGGGATCTGCATGGGAACACCTGTCCCTCTGTCTCTGACTGCAGTGGAACTCACCTTGGACCCAGACACAGCCAACCCACGCCTCATTCTTTCTCTGGATCTTAAAAGTGTGCGCCTCGGCCTGCGGGCCCAGGACCTGTCCAGTCACCCGCACCGCTTTGATACCAACACCCGAGTCTTGGCGTCCTGTGGATTCTCTTCGGGCCGGCATCACTGGGAGGTGGAAGTGGGCTCCAAGGATGGCTGGGCCTTCGGTGTGGCCCGTGAGAGTGTGCGCCGCAAGGGCCTCACGCCCTTCACACCTGAGGAGGGTGTCTGGGCACTGCAGCTCAATGGTGGCCAGTACTGGGCTGTGACCAGTCCCGAGAGAACACCCCTCAGCTGTGGACACCTGTCACGTGTGCGGGTGGCCCTGGACTTGGAGGTGGGAGCCGTGTCCTTCTATGCTGTGGAGGATATGCGCCACCTCTATACCTTCCGTGTCAACTTCCAGGAGCGCGTGTTCCCACTTTTCTCTGTCTGTTCCACTGGCACCTACTTGCGAATCTGGCCTTGAGGAGCACTATGTGGAAAGAGCCTCCTCTCCTGTCTGCCTGGGAAGGAATGGGTCTATCTTCCACTCTCCTACCCTAGACTGCTCAAGAGTGGTTGCTACAGACACAACCCCAGAGGCATGAGAGTGAATAACTGTGGTCAATAGAGCAGGGGAAAGAAGGCATTGGATTGTTGGGCCTGTCCCATCCCTGTGGACAGATGGATTTGGCCAGAGCACTGAGGAAGTGGAGGTGGCTGAGGACAGGACCTCAGCTCTTGACAGGGAGGCTTCTTATCAGAGAGCCTTGCTACCCTGACTCAGGAGGTCTCTGGTTCCATGGAACAATGAATGTCAAACTGGTCCTGTGCTGGCCTCAGTTCCAAGGGGACAGGTTTGGGCATGGCCAGCCAGGCTCAGTGTCACTTCTGTTTTGCCTTCTTAATAGCTGCCAGCTCTACTTTATGAGGTCATGGGACCTCTGGATCCAGCTGAGCTGACAGAGTTGTCTATCAGGGAGGAGCACCATGCTCCTAGCTTGGAAGAGTCTGGGCCAGAACTGGAAGGAGTCCTGCCCATATGAAAGGGAGAAGCTCAGGACAGCAATACAGTGGCCTTACCAGTCCCCAACATCCCATAGCCTATTGACACAGAATGCCGTGTGCAACCTGACCCCAGTGACACATGTTCTCACAGATACTAGCCCCCCTTTCCCAGTGCCAAAGTACACAGCTGCCCTTAAGATTAAAGGGAACTTCAAAACCAAAGTTGGTATTTATAATCTTACAGATGCAACCAGCACCAGCAAAGAAATGCACAGAGCACAAACACACTCCTCTGACAGGCCCCCTCTGAAACTTGCCAAATGTATGCCAATAGTGGAGCAGCCTCGTGCCGAGGCTGGTTCAGCCTGTGTCCTGGAGGGTGGCTGCCTCCTCCCCCTTGGCTAATTGTGCCCCAGCTTCTGCACAGCTGAGCTTCCAGAAGGGTGGCATTGGGCTGTTCCCTGCCCAGTGCTCCTCGAGAAGGGGATGGGGAGATGGAAAAAACACTGTGAGAGTTTCTTGGTTCATTCTTGACTCCTGGGACTGAGTGCAGGAACACATGCATGAGCAAAGTTCCCACCAGAGTGAGCAAGCACAGTGTTTATGTGTGGGCAGATCATGTGTGAGTGTGTGTGTGTGTGTGTGTGTGTGTGTATGTATAGCTCAGATTTCTCAGGGTGGGTGAGGTACAGGGCAGGGAGGGGTGGGTTTTGGAGAGGGTGTTTATTAACACATGTATTAGGTTTGAGTATTGCAAACAGACCTAGGTCAGTTTGGTCATACCCTATTATTGATTTGCAGCCATTTGCATAGTTGTTCATTATCAACCACACCATATTTAGGTGAGGGCCACAGGTTTGCTTCCCCACAACCTCACTACCAGGCTAGATGAATGCCCATGTCAGACCTAATTCTGTCATGCAAGCCCCTGCATACATATGTTGGCATGCAGGGACCATGACAGTTGAAGAGTCCTACCTGTGGTATCATGGAACATCCCTGAGATGCTTCAAACTCACTTTTTTCTCTTTCTTTCTCTCTCTCTCTTTCTTTCTTTCTTTCTTTTTTTTTCAGTCTTGCTTTGTCGCCTCCAGCAGAATGCCATGGCATCATAGCTCACACTCTTGGGCTCAAACAATTCTCTTGCCTCAGCCTCCTAAGTAGCTGGGACCACAGGCGCCTGCCACAGCGCCTGTCTATTTTCAGAGATGAGGATTTTCCTCTAGCTTAGGCTGGTCTCAAACTTGTGAGCTCAGGTGATCTGTTTGCCTTGGTTTCCCAGAGTAGTGGGATTACAGGCGTGAGCCACCATGCCCAGCCTTCCAACTCACTTTGCACAGAAGGCCCTTAAGGTCAGGCACTACACTATGCCAAAGGCAGATCCAGCCCAGGTGCAGTTGCTCATACCTCTAATCTCAGCACTCTGGGTGGCTGAGGCAGGTTTCAGGAGTTTGAGACCAGCCTGAGCAAGAGCAGACCTGTCTCTACTAAAAATAGAAAACTAGTTGGGTGTTGTTTGTGGGTGCCTGTAGTCCCAGCAACTCTGGAGGATGAGGCAAGAGGATCATTTGAGTCCAAGAGTTTGAGGTTGCTGTGAGCTATGATATCATGACATTCTATCCAGGGCTACAGAGTGAGACTCTGCCTCAACAAACAAAACAAAACAAACTAACCAACTAAACAAACAGGCAGATCTAGGTGACAGAGCACCAGTTAAGCAGAACCCTGTGTCTTGCAACCTGGGAATAGGACCATTAAAGTGTCCAGGCTACAGCAGCTTTCCAGAGCATGAGTCCTATGTCCTGCTTATACATGAAAAGTAGCTTTAAAATGTTGTAGCCAATCCATGTATTTGAATTCCATTGATTTCCACAAGGAAAACCCATTTCTAAAATTCGATCACTGATTAAATCGCCTTATGTTATCATCAAGCCCAAATGTTATCTGGTTTGTATGGCTTTTTGACTGAGTATCACAATTCCCTTTGTACTATACAACATTTGTGCTGAATACTGCAACATACATTACAGGTCTCAGAAGGTGGGCTGTCTGGTAGAGGGCCAGGCCTGGGGACTGTGAGGGTGGCTGAACGTATATTTTTATTTTTTGCTTTTCCAAATGTAATTGTGTCCAACAAAGAATGTACATTTACAGAATATATACAATGTGGACATATATAGATATAGATATAGATATATCTGAAGGTAATAACAATTACTATAACAATTGCATGTGGAGGGGAAGAGATGGTCTTGGTCATGAGGGGGCAGTGCAGTGACTTGGAGGTCACAATGGTGGTGTAAGAGTATGGTTGTGTACATTTTCCTTTCCCATCCTTTGGACATCATAAACTCTCTGAGATCACTGGGTCTGTGAGAACAATGACTAGCTTGCTTTGGTCCCTTCTTACCTCACCCATGAGTCCCAGAGCCCTGTCAGGTGCAGAGCCATAAGAATCCAGGCCCCTGCCACCAGACCTTCACTGGGCCCCTCAGCATAAAGACCAGAGGGCTGCCAGGGGCCTGCCTCTGGCCTGGCCACCCAACGACCTATGTCACCTCACCTCGCAGGGACCAAAGCACGGCGGAGCCATCAGGCCAAGGTCCACCACTCCTGTCCCCTGGGCCCTCTTCCTCTTTCCCTGTCCTCCACGCCATAGGCTTTTTATGGGTCCTGACAGACCTCCTCGAGTCAAGGCAAGCTCTAAGAGCTGTCTTTCCCTAATTCGTCCAAAGGCTAGGCAAGGGTTACAGCCTTACCCGGACGCTATACCCTGGCTGAGTTAGCTCCTCTGTGCCTCTCAGGTACCCGCCGCCCTAGACCCAGTTTTTCTTAAAAGTCCAGCACCTCCAAACATCTCAACCTTCTGAGTTCTCCCCCTACCTCCTTATGCCCCACTGCTCCCTCACCCACCCTGCCCACCCCAGACCTGGATTCCCCGCAGGACAGGCCCCTCGACACTCTTCCCCTACTCCTTTCTATAGCTCCAACCTCTGGGTCCCTATCCGCGCCGCGCTCCGCAACCCTGCTCCGCCTTCCCACAGCCAGTGTCCCCAGGACAGTACCCTCCGCACAGCTCCACCCATCGGAGGCCCAGCCGCTCCCGGACATTCTCTGCCCACTTGCGCACCCGGAGCCGGCCTTGTCTCCGCAGGGCTCTCCCAGAGTTCACCGCCAGCGTTCCGTCTACCTGTACACCCGCGCGTGGGCGGGCGGCAGTGGCTATGCAGAGAAACGTTACTCCCGCCACTTTGGCGGTTCACTTACTTGAAACAGCGATCTGCGGCTGCGCGGCGGTTAGCGGCGTCAACTGCTCGTGCGCAGAAAGCTTTTTCGCGGTTGGCTCCATAGCTCAGGGGTTAGAGCACTGGTCTTGTAAACCAGGGGTCGCGAGTTCAAATCTCGCTGGGGCCTGCTCTCGTTTTCTTCCACCTTCAATTTTTTAACCCCTTCTTGAAAGGTGGAAAACCTTAAAATGTACTGGCCAAGTTTAATTTCCGCCTCAGTGGGAGGCTAGACCCTGGTTGAGTTACCTCCCGTGCCGTCGGCTCCTTCCTTACACTCGCGGCGGCCTTTCCTTTCCATCCCAGCAACTCGGGTCCTGCGCGCCTTCTGCCTGCACTTTTGGCGAGTTCAGGGCGGATCTGTACATTCCTCTCTTGTCCCACCCGGGCCCTGCACGCCCTGATTTTCTGCTTTTCCTCTTTCTGGGATGCAGACGATACCACCGCGCCCTTCCCCACCAGGTGTTTCCCGCCGCTCGCAGGCGTTAAGCGTCCTCGGTCTCTAGGTCCCTACCAACCCAGAGTCGCAAGCATTTGTTTGTTTCTCTTCTCTGTGGAATTATACAGAAGGAAAAAAATATATACACATTTTAATAAAGGAAAAAACGATAACAAATTTGTAATACTCAAGTCACAGGGGATGCTCGACTTGACTTGTATTATTACAATTTTAATACAGTTTTTTTCTTAAAATGTGCACACATTTTTTGGCATCCTCTGCATATAGAAAAGTACAAACTTTCACATTCTTAACTGTGGAAGTTCAGGCCTATAGGCTGTAACTGTAATATTCGCGTTTAGTCTTTTTAAAATGTTAGCTTCTTTTAAAACAGAATCAGACCACTAATGTATGCTGACTTCTGGCTTTGATTTATGCTGTTAACCGGTGTGAAGCGTACAAAATGAGCCTAAGTCCTCGGTGACCAGTCCGCGCTGCCCAGTGGGCATATAGAGGCAGGCCTGCGGGAATCTGGGGACGCCCTCCCGCTGCCGAGGCCTTCGCTGCACTGAGCTCCCCAGAGGCCTTGGCGGAGACAGAGGCGACGCCAGGAGCCGCCACACACCAGGGGACCGCAGGAGCCCTCTCTCCGGCTGAAGGGGACCTCGGACAGCCCTGAGCAAGTTGCCGCCTCTCATCGGCCTGGGCTGACTACAGGCTCCAGGGTGGTTCAGGGTTCGAAGCCAGAATCCCGGTGACCGGGGAGAGAAAACCGCTTTCATGTACCTGGGTAGTGGCAGCAGGTGCAGTGAATAGAATGAGTACGGGGCTTCCAGCACGGATCAGGTGTCTGAGGCCTGTGCCAGGAACTATACGCTTCTCTTTCTTATCCATGCCCACTCTTGTCCCCAAAGATGAGACTCTGGGTCAAGACTGGTATGAACTCTCTCCTGATGGGCTAGGAGCCCACAGGCACTTGAGGGCACTTGTACGTCCTAGGTTTCTGGGACTGGTTCCCTCTGCCATCCTGGGAAATGTCCCCTTACTGTAGAAGTTGGATAGCTGGGACCAAGGGAGAAATACTCTGAGAGTTAAATATAGCCATCTTCCCAACTAAAACCTGGATTCTTGATGTGCGTGCGTGGGGAGGAGTCGGCAGTTGTTCCCTAACAATACTTGTATAAACTGGTGAATGACTCAGGCTTTGCAATCAGGAGAAGTCAGAGGTTGGACACTATAGAGGTACCCAAGAAAGGGTGCCCCAGTAGGCTCACAGGTCACCTGGCGGAATCAGGCTGGGTGTGGGTGAGGTGTCCCTGTCCAACTGGCTTTGGAGGTGTGGGTGAGAGGCTTGAAGGGAGGAAGAGCTATGTAGGCTGGGATGCACACTGAGTGAGTCAGTGGGATGTGTGGGGACAAGAGTTACTTTTTTATGATTTTTAGATGTTTATAGCAATATCCATAATGAATAAAAACTGGAAACCCAGGTGTTCATTTAC